CACCACTACGAGCTTATGAGTCGTGTTTAGCATGTCAACACTTTATTTCAAAACTGTTGATTGGTCACTTGCCACGTGACGCCTGCGTGGGAAGCTATTTTTTCCCCGCCTAATTTAAGTTTTTCTTGTGTAATACACGAAACCAAAATAAACCACGCTCAGTGAACCTTAGCAGGCCTGTTTTTGCCAACATTATTTTTCCAGTTGGCTCCATGTTTAGCCAGCTTTTAATGCTGTTTAGACTGGTCACAACCTTCCGGCCTCAATTCGTGATTGGGTGCGCGTCGAGTTGTGCTTCACAACCAAGCCGAAATATCAGATAATAGAGGCCGGACTGGGAACGGCTTGGAGCTGTTTTGTACTGATCTGGTTTTTGTTTTTGCTGCACCTAGTTGTGTCAAAAAATTAACAGCAAACTCACATCGTCCTTTCCGGCTTCAAAATTGTTCACATTCTTTTTTTTTTTTTTTGGACTTAGCGACTGTTGCTCGCTAATAAATGAAAAGTAGCATCTTAATTAATATCTTACTTTCTCCATTATCTCCAGAGACCCTAGGCTGTTCATGTACGCTTTTTCCTGTTTGATCTCTCCTGATTCCATGTACTTAGTAACCTGGTGGTATGAAGTGTTAAACAAACGTAAAAACATTTTCGCATCTTCAGTCACGTTCATTATGGCTATCCCTTTCACTGGCACCGATTTTAAAGTTCCTGGGTTTGATACGCTGATATATGCAAACGCAGGAAGAATTTTTATCAGGACTGCCTTGGAATAATCGGGAAAACGTCCGCCTATGCTGCTTGGGGTGGAGTATTCCACAGCCATTATCCTGAGAGTTTTAAGACCTTCTTTTAAATTGCGTTTTGCCGTGTCAGCCAGTTCAAAGACAGTTCCCTCTAAAAGATATTGCACGAGTGCAGCTGTATGCAACGCCTGTGGGACGTAGGCAGATCCGTAGATTCCTTTGAGATGAAAACCAGTGTAATCAGGTTTGAGGACCCCTCCGAACGCTGTATTTATCAACAAAGCATTATCTATCCATCTCTTTAACGCCTCCATGTCCTGTTGTCTTGCTTTTTTTTCGGCATTTGTATCAGTAGGCATTATTAGAACAATCATAAGCCGAAAGAGCATTACGGTGATCATTTTGTCGGCATTTGTTCCTCTGTACTCGAAATGTTGCTGATAGACCTCCCCAAATTCATTGTACCATTTCGAAGTCTTCACTAAGTTTTGTAATCTTGTCTTGTTATTTTTATGCAAAGTGTCTTTTAGCAGAAACAGACTGTTCATGTATCCAGCAAAAGCACGGTTCATCTCTTTTTCCAGAGAACCTAGCGCACTTCCATCTGCCCATCCTTGGTCTTCAACAAAATCTAATAGATTACAAATTCTTTTAAGTCGAGTTTCGTTTAAAAACCTCAGTGCATCCTCGGCGTAATTTATTTTCACAGAGCTTCGCGTTAGGTTCTGAATGTGTGTAAACACCTTGTCCTTCAAGATTTTACTTGTTCCAATTATTCTGTCGATTGACTGGTTAATCAAAGCAAAATTGTTAGAATTTAGGTAAGATGCCTCCCGACTTATTATCGTATTCATTTCCTTTTCCCTTGATTTTAGGTAAAATTCCACAGTTAAAGGGAACAAAATTTCCAACATAATATGCTCAAATTTTCTGGAATCATGATAACCTGAATTACGCCCAAACAGAGGAGGACCAGTGATCACAGTTTTCTGGAGATTGAAACTTAGACTGTCATATTTGTTGTTGGCTCTGTCTATGCTCTGGTTCAGGGACTTCCAGCGTTCTAGAAGACTACCGTTTAGCATATCGGTGGTTTTGCTCTCATCGCAATAAAAGTTCCTTAAACGACTTTCGATGTGTAGAAGACTTGACGTCATCGATGAATTTATACCTCTTAATGCGGCATCTGTTGGTTTCTGTGCACTCCAGTGGTAAGTTTCGGAATTTTTTTTCTTGGTTAAAGTCAACGGTAAAACTATTTTATCACGATATTGCTTTGACATGCGATCCTCAAACTGGAGCAGATCGACGTAAATTGTATCTCGATGGGTCAAAGTAAACTTTACTGCGGAAATGGGTCTTTTCTTACGTTCACTTCTTTTAACAAACTCAGAAAACGCAACCCATATTGCTCTCCAGCCTCTAAATCCTAACTGCACAGAAAATGCGCCAAGCTCAACCCCGGCGTCTTGAAATTCAACAATCATCTGTCTGCCAAGAGAGGGAACTTTCTTGTAAATCCACATCTTAATACCTCCGCGTCGAAATTTTGAGCCAGTAATGCTGAAGGGTAATGTATAAGAAATACTTGTGTTCTTCGTGTCAAATGATTCCCATTTAAGAGAACAAATTCCGTGTTTGGCTATGTCAGAAGATAGTGCCACCCTGGCATTGGATCCAGTGGTTGCTTTCACGAAACAATGTGCTTGAGTGTCATTTTCAAAATCAAGAGTTTTGTCACATTTTTGGTGTCCTGAAGACACTGAATGCTTTCCACATTGACCTGTGAAGAACAGAAATTAATCATTAACTTAATTAACTATAAATTTCTCTTGACTATGAAATTGATTTTTACCAATATTTTGCTTACTAAGGTAACATGGCAAACCACCAGCTTTTGATTTAACTTTCCCTGTGGAAGGGTATCCAACGCTTCCTATTAAGAAGCTCAAGGAAGATGGGGAATTAGTAAACAAATTGGAACATGCTGTCTGCTTCTTGAATTTTAGGGAAAGTCGCAATTGCAAAGCAGAATAGAAGTCTTTACCGTCTTCCTCGGGGGACGATTTGAAAACAAGTTAGCGGCTTTCGAAGAAGAAGTAAGAAAACGAGATAATTATGAACGAGGGACAACATTTTCCCTAAGTTAAAAAGGCTCATACCAACCCCCCCCCCAAAAAAAACTTTTTACCACGAGCCGATTACGGGCTCCTCCCTTTACTTATTTTATTTTATTTTATTTTATAAGTTAAATATGCTGATACCCCCTCCCCCCCCCCACCCCCCAATAAACCACTTTATTTCTCAAAGCATATTGAGATGAATGGTATTCATCGTATACCATAATGTAACAATGTTTTATCATTCCAAAATTTGTATACTGTGGTCAAAGAGTATTACATTGGTGACAGTACGCGTTTTCCTTGCGACGTCGGGTAATTTGGAAGGCTCACTCACTTTTTATAGGACCAAAAGCTCCGCGGCAACACAGTTTGTTACAGAGAGAGGGTAAGGTTTGTTTTCCTGAACTCGGCTTTTATCTAGGCGTTGACAGAAAAGGTCAATGTTATTTCGATTCATTCCCGATAAAATGGCCTCGACCTGTTTACCTTCCTGAAAAAAGTCTCTCTGGAGCAGAATGTCAGAAATATTTGAGGCACGAATTACGTAAAACATCGTCATCCTTTAAGTCTGAGTTAGGGGAAAAATTTCAAAAAACCTTTAATGATTACAAAAAGGTTCGTGACTCAAAAAGAAAATAATTTTTGGAAGGAAGAAATTAATCTCGACGAACTGACATTAAATCCACACAAAGCATCGTTTTGGAGCTGCGTAAAATCGATGAAGAATACTACGGACGGAAATGTTCCTTCCTCTACCTCGAAAGAAAAAATGGCTCGACCATTTTCAATCCTTACATCACAATGGCCCGAGAGTTTTGATACATCAACAACAATTTTACAATGAACTACGACCATTAAAAAAAAAGCTTAACGTGAGATAACTGAGCAAGAAATACGTCAAGTGGTTAAGAAATTGAAGAATTAGAAATCGTCATTTGTTGACAAAATAAGGCATGAAAGGATCAAAGCAGGCCTTGAATCTCTTATACTTCTGGAAATTTACCACATGCTTGGGTTCAATTCCTTATAACTCTAATCCACAGAACAGGTGAAAAGACTTATCCAAGAAATTAAGAAAGTATTTGCGCATCTAGTTCCCTTAGCTGGACGAATTGTTTTGCTCCACTTTATAAATCAAATACCATACTTGTTCCTTAAAGAAAATAATGTTACAGAATTCCCAAATTGGCTTCATGCCTCAAAACCGCACTGCAGACCATACTTCCACTATAAGGACTCTAATAGATAACTAAGTCCCCTGCCAAAATGAAAACGTCTATGCTTGTTTCGTAGATTCTCGTAAAGCTTTTGGTTCTGTTCGGCACGAGGGATCGTTTCATAAACGGTTCAAAATGGACATAAGAGGACATTTCTGCAATCTAATAAGAGTTCTCTATAGCAATTTCACAGGTCCATCAGAATCCAGAAAACAAAACTCGATCCATACTCAAAAGGTCTGCGCCAAGGATGTATTTTAAGCTGCCTGTTATTTAACCTATATATAAACAACTTGCCGTATATATTCGAAAAAGCAAGATCTCTTTGTTTTTCCAAATATAACAAAAATAAATTCACTGTTGTATGAAGATCAATAAATTACCCTAACGATTACAAAACTGTTTAGACACGCTCTATTCATATTGCGAAACCTAGAAGTTAAAAATCAATCCGAATGATATTCCAAAAACACCCGAGGAAATCTGTCGTCATCAACTTCAACATATGCAACAGGCACATTGAAATTGTTTAAAAATACAACTTTTTAGATGCAAGTTTAGCTCCAACAGGAAACTCCTCCACTCGCACACATAAAAGAAACAGACCTGCTCGCCTTCCCTAGAGCACAAAATAAAAAAATGTCCCCAAGTCCACCCGAAGTGCCACTAAATGGGCCTATAAAATTTTCCAGGAGTGGCGAATTGTGAGGTCGAACAAAGATCCAGGTTTAGAGAGCCGCTCCTTTGTAATTGACAAAGAAAGAGTTCAGATTTTACAAACAAATACGGTCAACATGACTGCAGTCATGTGTATGACTGAAAAAGTTTGTTCGGAAGGTTTGCAAACCAAATGAAGACAGATTCCCTTCTCTAAGTCTGTATAGTGTTGGTTGTTTCCTGCAACGCCATCTGCAAGACGGCAAGAATAGTGCAGCGATTTCGTTACCTAGCAAGAATATAAAGGAAGGTAAGAACTGCTTACAACTTGTGACAGTTTTTCAATCGTCTTCTTATTTGTCAATACGTTAGTTTTGGGTTCATTACGAAAAAAAGAGAAAACAATGTTTGCCAGATTTAAACTGCCGAGTTTGTTCCCTTTTTCGACGGGCCCTTAAAGCTGAAGATGTGGCGAAAGAGGCGGAGATAGCTGAGAGGAATGAAGTGGAGGGGAAGATGAGATACTGATGTGAGAGAAGGATGTTAAACAGCTAAGTCATGGCTGTCCACTGTTTATTTTTACAAAGGAATGTTGTTTGGACCACGGTCAAAAGAACTTAGAAGCTGAAGGTTTAAGTAACTTTCGTACTTATTGTCTATACCCTATGACGAAAGTGCTTCAAAACCGCACCATGATTTCTTAACGCATTTATAGCACATGCACAATCCGCGAGATGTAAGACATGATTGCTGTCTCAGTAAAAATCTTAATCACATTCCATACCTTGTAAATTGCAACTCTAAGTACATGGACAAGATAAAGTATTTGGGGGAGAAACGAGATGCTTTTACTTTTGGCCTAACCTAACTTTTTTAGGATTATGATATGTCGATTGGTACTAATACTCTTTAAAAAAATGCTTCTTGATTTACGCGAGGGTGCACAAGTAAGTCGTAAAAGATCCACTGCTTAGCAGTTACTTCCATTAGCTGAATGTTTCGATCAAATGTAGAGGAAACGATGATCAGGGAGCGCTCTAGACATTGGTCAAATGCACTGTTTGCTAACGAGAAGACAAGTGAGGAGCAGAAAAAGAATATATGCAAAGTGTTGGGGCCAAACGTTGACAAACAAAATGAAGACATAGGTAACACGGATTTTATTTGATTTTTATTTGATTTTTTTTATTTTTTTTTTCAGTATTTTCAGTTTGTTGACTATACGCCTTACGAATTTTAGATAGTTTTTGACAAGTTACAAGTTTCTACTAGTTTGTTGGCTTTTCAAAATAATCAAAATGTCGATTTAACCAGGCCCAAAAGGGAAGCGTCCGTTTATAAACTTTACACCAATAAACTTTAGCATGACAAAGAATTCAGAAAATATATGCTTAACTTTTAAAGCCCTCTATTTTATTAAAAGAGGGGTTGGGGGATTTTAAGAAAAACACACACCAAAACGAAAAACATCTTCCACCAAGCTAAATACCTTACAGCAAAAAACAAAATCATTATGAATCAAGTTCGATCGCAATAAAAGGTTTAGAAAAGAACTCTTGCCCAAAATACATTACCTCACGATACTCTTTGGTGGCGCCAATTTACAGGTTACTATTTCTGGGGTCGATCGTTTCGTCTAAAGAGAAGTCCGGTTTCTGTGTTCGCCTTAAGCTTACGTTTGCTTATCGTGCCCGGACGAACCGCTGAGTGTAAATCAGCCTGAGCATTTATACATCACAATATCTAATATGAAAATAACTTTTACCCGAAAGGTATTGTTCTTTCACTTTCGGGATAGACCAAGGACAATAAGTAACTTACTTGTATTTAATTCCCTCCTATGAATAACCATATAATTTAGTTACACAAACTGCACGGTACGTGTTGTGCAGGGCATTCACAGAGGAATGTGCGCCAGAGTTACACTATAAATTGAAGAGTTACGACAACTTCAAACTTTTTCTAAGAAGGCGAACTCAGGAAAGCAAAGCAGCGAGTCTGTCGATAAAATAATTTAACATGAACTCTCTTATATAGATTTTTCGGGCAAAGATGGCCGAGAAAACGTAAACAGACGATCAATCAAGGGAAACCAAGAATTATCAAGAAAAAGGCGGCGCAACGCAAAATTCTTGACTAGCAATCCAAAAATGAATAAAAATTCAATGAAACATGTGCAACATCAACTGTGTTTCTTCAAGAGGACAAGTAGTGTGACTTAAATAAGTAGTCATGCTTCAGCAAAATTAAGCCACGTTGGTGCGTTCCCTTTGCGTTCCGTTTGCATTTCCTTTATTATCATGCATAAGGGTCTAGTCCATGACGTCACCCAACCTAGGGAAAAAGTGCGTTCCTCCATACTAATTAAGTGCCTAGTCAGTGTCTAGCTAGCTAGATAAAAATGCGTTCCTCCAAACTAATGAGGGTCTTCCTCTATATGTAATTAGCGTCTGTCTACTACAATAGGCTTGACTAGACTTGCCCGTTAAGTAACTCGAGCCCGGTTTTCGGACTGTTTATTAAAAAGAA